CCCAGAATTGAGTTAATTCAAACGTTTTCTGGAAATGAACACCGGTGGGGCTTCACTTTTGCATGTTACCCTGTCCCAAACTATCACCCGTTCCTTAAAGAGTCTGTTATGAAGCAAACGTTATTCCGGGAATCACTCTTAGTTTCTGTCAATGACTGCCTCTAATTCTGAAGGTCGCTAAAAAGTTTGATGCGAAGATTTCCTCATCAGTCCAATTCGTAAGAGAGGTGCGGCGCGCCTTGAAATCGCCAGAAGCCTTTTTGCATACTATCTGTTGATTTCAGTCGGATTGCTCCAATCAAAACCAGCATAGATAGACAAGGTCCCTGAGAGCACGTAGTTCCTGACCTTCCACTTGTTGCGATCCCAGAGATGTGTACTTGAACCTTGAGAGCAGTTAAGATCTTTTTGAAGAGTAGAAGAGGAAATATGTAGTCGCTCTGCGGAGTCGCAACTTTGGAGACCGTCTTGGGCAGTCTCTCGATCATGGGTCGATGCGATGAAAAGTTCATAGCAACTTCGTACCAAGCAAATTATGGAGCTTCTTACACAACTCCGATGCTTTCAATGAGTTTCGAGATATTCCGAAAGCACTCCACGGCTCAGTGCCAGCGAGCAGTCGCATCCTATACTTTTCAGCCACCCTGTAAATGACGTTGCCGTCGCGGCCTTATAAAGTGATCTAATGGCGAATCTGTGAACTTATGGACGAAATCCCTCGTGCACATTCCATGATACGCAGCGCGGGCTACGACTGTGGAGCCGTGGAACAAGCACGTTCAGGAACCTTGCTCGGTCCCGCCCCTTCTTTGTTTCGAGGAGTGGGAACACTTTGGTTTGATTAGGGGTAGATCATTTATCGACAAGAGCGCTTTGCTCTGGCCTCTCTCTAGCACCAGCCCGAGCCCTCCAGTAGCAGGAGGGCAGGGTCTCGGCCATCCTTCGCTGCGCGGATAACCACCTTCCGTGGGCACATGTATCTACTCACTTCTTTGAAGTCTGCCGTCTTTTTGCAGTGTGCATACCTCCTCTTATCCCATATCCCATTATCGTAACATCCTCCTTTATTAGGCCGATGTACGACTTTGCGAATTGAGCGAATCGCTACAAGCAATTCGTCAGCGTCCGCGATCGTGTCGCGTACAGCGGATGGTCAGACGAGCTTTGTATCTTTTATCGCCCAATCCGCAAAGTCTGACATCGGCTTTACAGGAATCACTGTGTCCTTTCACTGGACGGATAAATCTACCACGCTCCGGTCGAATCTACCCCGTTCACACCTGTGAGGCCGAACAATTCTTCTATGATCAGCTTCTCAGTTCCCTCTTGTTTATCCTCATTTAATGCGAGGACCATAACCGCATTAAACTCTTCTACGTCTCCAAGAGCAGTTCGAGTATACCGCACATCCCAGAGAAGTCCACCTTCTCTGTACACTTTTTCATCGCATTTTTCGAACTGAACTGACCAAATCTGCTTTAAAAGGCTAGCTGCTAGCACGGGTGTACCAGGTGGTGGTGGAGGCATAGCAGCTTTTCGTATTGCCCGTATTATTGCCAGATCTTCGTAGTCGAGGAAAGGCTGAAAGGTGAAAATCTATCAGGGAAATATATCAACTTGCTCTGCGATTCCAAAGAATCACCTTACTGCCATTTGAGAACACTTCAAACATTAATGTTCCAAATGCCCACACATCACTTTTCTTAGAGAACAATGGCTTCTTGTAGCAACATTCGGGCGCCAACCACCTGAAATCCCCATTTTTCTCTCATGCTTAACTTCTTGAATTATTATGGCTATCTTATCAGATGGCTGCAAGCACATCTCAGTCCTCATGTTAATTTGTGCTGACTACTTGCTATATTTTGCTGTGGTATACACAACGAAGCCGTCAATTCTCAACTATTAGGTTGCCGAAAAGTCTTTGGCCATTTCCATCTGTATGTTGTAGAAATCTCTAGGGATAATTTTTGAACATTCATTGTAACTTTTGTGAATCTAGAGTCTAATGGTAAGCCCAAAACATTTCTGCCGTGGCATTTCGCAGCAATTATGGCTGAGAAAATCGTCTGAAAGCATGTCCGGCTGTTGTTCCTTCGAAAATACAGAAAGCGCGTCAAGTAGTAATGTGGCAAGAATCCCTCTCTTATGATAGACCTCCAGGGAGTCTTTCACGATATAATAGTAAACTGGTGGTTTGGTGCCGTTATCAGAACACACTAGACGTTCCTCAGTATTCCCCCAGAAAGAAGAGAAGTTATAGCAAGAGGAGATTCTGGGGTCCTGGTGACAGCCGCTTCTGGAGGCCCTCAGATTTTGTATTAAAGGCACAACTTAGGCAGAGGTCGTGTGAACGCTTCCTTCGGTCTGTAGTATAGACCCCTAGAGGACAATCACAAATGTGGCGTTCCCGTGCACGGAAACCAACCGACAAGAGCGCTTGGGCCTTGCAAAGTAAGCTGCTGAAGCTGCAGATTTTTTTCTCTTATCAGGCTGTTGTCTGGCGCTCTCTCATCTGTAGCGCTCTCTCGCCTCATACTCTCCTCTCCGCGCTTAGTCTCTCATTCCCTTAGCACAGCCGATTAGGAAGGTGAGTGAGCCCTTAACCTAAGCGTTTTCGACGGATTCTTTTCCTTTTTTTTTCTTTACTGCCGGCCCACTTCGCACCAATACATTCGCATTCGTGTGCAAGAGCCACACCAAGGTGATCCTGGGGCATGCCTCGTCCGCCTCCCGTTTGATCAGACTACTTTCTTGGTGATAACAAGATGTGGGTTCCTCACGTATACCACACTAGGAAGTGCCACTGGCTTGGTCGCGTAAAGCCAAGAATTCCAACACCCATTCCTTCACTGCGATCTGGGATGCCACTTTCGAGTAAAGCACGACTCCTCTGCCCCTTTTAATACCTACGTGTGTTGTAAACACAATGTAGGCAGCAGTCGCAGCCTTCGGACGATATTGGCCTGCTTCAAGGATAACCCCTATCGAAGGGGCAGTCTACGGAATCAGAGATCCTCTGGCGGAAGGGGGAGAGGGGTGCGGAAAGTTGAATCCCTTCATAAAATAGGTTCCTATGAACGCCACATACTGAAGCGAATATAAATTCATTTCAAAAAATTCGTCAAAATCAAAATACATTATTTATTTAGAAAGTTGTTGCAAAAGACATGCCTTATTGGTGCTTCTTTGAGCACTGATCTGCACATGGTTTTCCCGTTTTCCAGTATAACGCTCAGGCCGAAATCAGAAACTTTGATTGTTCCCTGAATCGGAATGATGAATCATTTCTGGATGTCTAGAAGGGAATAATTCGCACATCGGCAACACCTGTAGCTTTCGAGTATATTACTTCAGGTTGTACAAAAAATTGTTATTTAAAAAATAAAGATATCCTTGTTCTTTGCAGAAAGCAATGCTGCCCTAGTGTCATCACCTGATCTCAAAAAGTTTCCGAAGTTACCGTCCGGCAAGCGTGAATATAGAGGCGCGTCCTGCATTTCTCTTGTGATCTGCCCTTGTCTAGAAACCTGTTAGCCAGCCAGCGGTTAGTCATGTGTCCACCGTGGTTTCGAGCTTAGGGATTCGAGACTTGACGGTTGATGGTGTGGAAAGCTGTAGGCCATTAATGACGATCATGACTATGACACTGTTCGACACTTCCACTGACACGCTCTTGGAGGATTCTCGGTCAATGGATCCAATAAACGCCGACAATAGAGTACGGCACATGAACGTCTCCATCTGAAGTGGTTTTTTCCTCGCCCTAAGGGAATCCTTACAGGATCTGCTGAAGGAGGAAGATGAGAGCTAAATCATCAGGAGGATGGCCTAGGGGATGTGGACGGCGAACTGCATGAGGTTTGCCCTCTAAATCTCGTCACGGCAAAACCTCACCCTTGTAATTCGAAGAACTGATTTGAAGCGTGATTGTACTAACCACAAGCTGTTTGCTTAGATTCCGAAAGCAGTATGTGCTCGTGACTGCAGGACTAACAAGGGAGGTCTTTCAGGGCAAGCCACGCTTTTTCAAAACGGTTTCTTGCATATTGTAGGGACGCATGTAGGGAACACAAAACCATGTTTCATTTTCGCTGAACGGTTATAGCAGTACCAAAAAAGAAGCATAAGGTACTGTGTTAAGGGTTCGATCCCCCGTGGCGACTAAATTTTGCATTTGGGTTGGCGCCTACGGTTTGGTGCCAAATCGCGCTAAATATCAAAATCAGATGTCAAATTCATCGTCAGGACCATTTTGAAGCCAACAAGTGGCCGCCAACCTTGATTGCAAAATTTAGTCGCCGCGGGGGATCGAACCATCAAGAGTATCATTCACCACTTTTTTGGTACTACTAAAACCGTTCAGCGAAAACGAAACATGGTTTTGTGGTCCATACATGCGTCCCTACAATATGCAGAAACCGTTTCCAAAAAGCGCACTTGCCCTGAAAGACCCCCCTTGTAAGCGTTGCTACAGCAAAACGTTGGAATTGTCCAACTGAGCTTTTTTAGCCACACTGATTTTCTGTGACGAAATTAGTTTGTTACCGTAATTTTTGCACACCCTGAACTTCGTTCGTGAAATTAGATAGATTTGAGTCGTGTTTTTCTGTTTCCCCAGATTGCTACATATCAACTCATTTTGCAGATATAGGAAGTTTTTTGATATTTGATGTGTTAAAGTAACTAATATTTACTCTTTTTCGGCGTGGCCCTATTGAAAAATTTGGATCACAATCACAACTCTGCCCAAAAGTAGTGCTAACCTCTCTGGAGATCAAGCAGTTCCTGGCTGCCAGGTCACGATGAACACAATTCACAGAGTGTAAGTATCGCATTCCTGACGAAGTCTGAAAATTGTGACAATTTTCCCAGCATAAATGAAGCTCAGAGCAAAGCCAACAAGACAGTCCAACTAGCCTCGTACAGATAAATAAGCTTCTCCGTATCGCTGGTTGATTTGCCTCGAGCACGAAGATGACTGTCTAGACTGCCACCACTGCATAGTTCCATCACAATCATCACCGGAGGCCTATCACATGCAACGCCGTAGAACTGCAAGAACATTGATCATCTTTCTCCCGAATTCGAGATATCCAGCACTCGGTCGAGCTAAGTGAGCTAACCTTGATCAGGTTTTCGTCCCGATATCGTGCCATCATTTTCACCTCGTTGATCATGCTTGTTCTGGCTTCGAGCAGATCTCGCGGGGAGACTTCGTTGTTGGGAGGATGGCAGATCTGAACGATTACAGACAACAGAGGATGAAATTGGAAGTGCTAGGTGGGGATCCAGTCGAGTCCTCTTCAATTCTCAAGTCTCAACGATAATAGTTATACTTCTTCAGTCAGTTGGAAAAAAGCCAGACCTCATAAAGAACCCAGTCTAAAGCACAACCCAGGCGGAAGCCTATAAAGGGCTCCCTTTGGTGTGGTGATGATGGCTGGTGATAGTTCCTTTGAGACAATTTACCGGAGTAGCACTCCCGTGCATGGAAATCACCAAACAAGGGCGCCAGGGCCTTGCAAAATTAGCTGCAGCAGCTGCAATGTTTCCCGTCCTCAGCAGGCTTTTGTCTGTTGCCCTCTCCTCACTTGCGCTCTCTCGCCTCATACTCTCCTCCCGACTTAATTTCTCATGGTCTTAGCTCAACCCCATCACTAAGGTTGGCAGGCCCTCAACTTAAGCTCTCCAGGAATTCTCTTTTTCATTACTTCCACTAGTTTTCATTACTTCTACACTACACTTCGCACCAACTCGTGCAGCTTGACCCTCCAGCATGCCTCTGATGATTCCCATCGGATACTATTGGATCCCTTCAATTCTAGAATCTGATTCTTCCTACCTATCGCTAGGGATACAGTAAGATATTTCTTTCAACAGTAACGTACGCACGCTCTACTTGTGGGCCGTCATGAACTCCTGTAAGTTTCAGAACTTATCGTTAGAAGAGAGCCAGAGGTAGAGGTTCATACAACTCTACCGCCATACCTTTACAGCAGCATCGACCTCTTTATTCTCGATGGTTACTTTCCCTCGATAGACATCACAGAAATTACCAGACCCGATTTTTTCGGACTGAAAAAATACTGTTTGAGGATGATTCGTTCATATAAGAACGTTCACTTCTAAAAACTGATCGATGGGCCTAAAGACGGCCAGAACAGGAAGAGATAGCGGGAGTGGTGGCACGACCGACAAGGCCGGTGTCAGACTGCGAATCCAGCGAATTGCTAGCGAGTCGAGGAGTACGAGCGATCCGCCAGCAGTTGGAACGGTGCAGCAGCGACTCGACAGTCTTCAGTAGTGGCGAGTCCCTCTAATGTGCTTGACTCTCCTCACTCTTCCATGCTCGCAAGGACATGAGAACATGGGAAAGTGGTTGAAGTTCACGTACACATGAGAGGGACACTCGCTACTCTCCGACACGTCGAGTCGCCAGTGCGTTCGTAATCCGCAATTCGCTGACGATTCACCGGATTCGCAAAGTCTGATAGCGACAGACTATAAATAGTAAGATGATCCTTCCACTGGAGGGAACCTCTGATTGCTTGACATCATGTGACCGTAACCCTCGATAAAATTGACCATTAGAATGGGATAAAATGAGAAAAAAACCTTGTCGACAATAACAGCACTATGCCGTAGCAGCCACGATGGTCGTTCTACGCCGTGAACAAGACGTATGCCATTTGGGAGACGATGCCTCTAGAAGCACGAGCATTCAGTTCAATTTGCTAATTTTGACTACTAACAATAAGTCAGAAAGTACTCAGAAAACCTCATACCTTGTAATATTTAACCAATTGGGAAACACTGTCGAATATGGCTGGATTATCCTTGACATTCAGAAGGTAGTGAAGCAGATAACGCCCATCAAGAACACTTACAGTCAAGTTGTCAATCTCGTTACCGTTCTAAAGTGAGTTATACAGTTGAGGGAGACAAGAGACAATAGAATACAAAGAGAAATCCAGGAGCAAATACGGTGGCTTCTGTAGATGAGTTTCCACTTCAGAGGAAACGCTTGCCTATTGTACCGTGACTCCGATCTTACTGCTTATCATCTGTCACCAAACTAACACCTGCTCCTTTACCTAGCCGTACATTTGCGTCTTAATCTATCCACTACCTTACCTCAATCCCAAGCATCTAAACTCACCTCTTCACTACGCAGTAACTTTACCCAAGGGTATTTTTACTTTCAAGCTTACATGAATCGAGGGCGGAAGTGGCGCATTGGCGAACGGAGCTTTGCATGGGCAGGGCGCTAGGCAGGGTCAACCGTGCGTTCGCACTATTCGAACGAGGGGTCGCATTTGTGGTTGGTTTTGGGAAGGGGGGTCGCATTCAGGGGTTGAGTGGGATTAGTAATTTGCTTGAGTGAATGGCGAGGCGAAGGGATTTGGTGAGGTAGGAAGGTAGGCAGAAGGGAATAGAGAAAATTTGTCGTTCGTTTCATTGCACTAATATACCCCCCCCCCCCCCCCCCCCGCTCGACGTCGTTTTTGGAGAGGAAGTGGGCGGAGTTGTTGTTAGTGTTAGCTGATCTCAGAATCAAATACTATAGAAACAGCCATGATGGCGAGGGCTGTGGTCGGGGTAGGAAGAAGAGCGGTCGTATTGGGGTGGGGGCCTCCTAAGTCCCACGGGTGGCGTCGGGGACCCCCCTAACCCCCCTAATGGAGGGGGTCGCAAACGTCCCGAAAAGTGCGAACGTCTGTTGATCCTAGCTAGGCCATTCACGAGATGCCTATCTATGGCAATTCGAAGCTGCATCCGCTAGCTTCTATAACTTGATGAACGAGACCTCTGGCGACTCGATTAGAATGTCATTACTGATCTGGTCGAGCATGCGATGCGCATATAATAAATGAAATAAAACGCTGCGGGAAGCTCATTATTTTTTATCTCGACCTGCAGTGGACTATAGTGTTGAATCATTATAGGAATCATTCGCACGTAAGACTGGCTTACCCCCATTATCACAGAGAAAACGATACCTCAAAGGGATCTTCCACGGAAAGAGTGATCATTTTGTCTTGTGTGTAGGATTAGTATTAGGTCGGTCCATAATTTTTGAGAACCTTTGGTGTTTTTCGATTCAATTACTTATCTTATTTCTCTGATGTACTTATTCAGCATAGTATACATCACCATTATTACCAACATATAACCAATGCGAGGGTGGGTATTCAGTGTCCCTCTTGTAGAATTTCATAGAGTTCTGATCGAAGAAATATTGGATGTCGATTTTGACTTTATGGTGATTCAAGTGAGATTTCTTCTCCAGAAGGTGATTGAGAGAGAGCGCGGATAGTCGTTCGTTGACGCAGGATTAGTGCTACAAGGCGGAGCTAAAAGAACTGACCGCCCGAGAGTCTCCAATTTTTTAGGAATTTTCTTAGCAAGGCGGGCTCGAACGACCTCAGAGAAAAATAGATTTTGTCTTCCTTTGCTTTCAAGTTGAAGGCGTTGCCATCAAGCTGTCAACGATTCTTCCCATCACTGACACTGGTATTAGTTGATGCCGGTCTTCAGCGCAAAGGCCCTCCCGTATTGCGCCAACGACTCAGGAAGTTCGAATTCAGAGGGAGTTGGGTTTTGTATGTCAGAACTCCCGAATCGTTTGAGCAAATCTACTGCGGCTCGTGGATTTGTTAGCACATTGCACCCAGTCCACATCACCAATGAGTATTATAGATGGTCATCCGAAGGAACTATAGGAAACCAACAGGAACTTGATGATGTCAGATTGGGTTGAGAACTGATTCGGGACTACAATTTTCCTTCGATCAGAACTCTATGAAAGTCCACAAGAGGCACTGAATACCCACCCTCGCATTGGCGATATATGTTGTTAATAATAATGATGTATACTATGCTGGATAAGTAGATCAGAGAAATAAGATAAGTAATAAATCGAAAAACACCAAAGGTTCTCAAAAATTGTGGACCGACCTAATATTATTAAAATTATTATGTAGCGTTGTTTTGTTTGTGCTGCATAGGATAGGGCCCTAAGGGGTATCGTTTTTCTAGGGTAATGGAGGCGGAGCTTTTTTCCGCGGAAGTTCCTTTAATGCAGAACACCACTACTCTGCGGACACTATCTCTGTCCACAACTTGGCCGGCTCCGTCCCTGAATGAAAATTTCACTATGGCATTTGTTTTCCTACCTTTACATTCAACACCAGAGTGTATATGTTTCCTATCTTGGCTGGCACGTACGAGAAAATCACCGTTATCACGAAGCAGTGGGCTGAAACAGCGAGGTAATTAGTAAATCTGTGATGTGATTTCTAGGAGAGACATATTCCATAAGAACAAAGATAATGCGCTACAAGATTCTGACTATCGGCTCTCACACCAAATTTGGAATTCGTAGGTAGGATTTGCAGTGAAAGGGGAATAAACCTCCAAAGCATTTAGATGAGTTCCTAAGTTTGGTTCATATTGTATGACTTGGAGGCGGAATGTCCAATTGGTGAACTAACAATGTATTATACGATGTGGAATGCGCCTCTGACTCGTTTCTTTACGCAATTAAAGGCAAAGGTCGGGATTAGTTGACCAAACCAACCCTTTCGGTCATGCCTGTACTTGGTTACGCACCCGTAGAGATGTTCCCACACTCAAAACCCGAAACGGCGCAGTAATAAGGCCCCAGGGCATGTACTATGCGCTATCGCCGCCTGGCCCCGCTACGACCGCCCACCTCGGGATGTGGTGCATGGCTGGCATAACGTGTGAAATCAGCTAGGTTGATTGCCGTATCAACCGATAGAACGACTGATATCTTCAGAAAACTTGTTTGTACGTGCCTCTTCCCCAAGCCAGCCTCCTTCACTGCTAGTGGGAAAGAGGGTTTTGTTAACGGCCTTGTCGACGGTTTTTCTCAGTTTTTTCTCCACTGTCGTTCTACTTCGCATCTCTATACTCAGTTTCAATCGCCATAATACCCCTTACTGAGCCCGACTTTTGCCTCTACAACGCAAAACTGAGAACCTCATTACAATGTTTATCGGAACTTTTTCTTTCATGACTGCGAGACATACAGAGCTTCGAAACTTGTTCCTGAGAGCGATAAGCCAGATCTTGTGGACAGATCTTCCGCCTTGAACAAAGTGACTTTTTCTGGATCTTTATCTCCCCGATCTCCTCTTTCTAACTGTACTTTCTTCGCTAACCATAACTTTAGGTGTAGAAACTTGTTTTTCAACGGGTCTCTCTGTTTTTGTTCATTCTCTCTTGTACTTTGTATCACTAACAATTCAAAATATAACGAGGTTTTCCTTAAGGCTTTGAAGCCAGTACTCTCTTTTTATTCTCCCACACGGTGACGGGGTCTGCTTTCCTTGTATGTTGACCGCCCGATTATGTGCCTGATCGGGGTGAAGGCCAACTAATTTCAAGTCCTCATGCAACGTATCAAGCCATCGTTGCTTCGGGCGTCCTCTTGGCCGCTTTCCTGGCACGTTAAAGTCTAGACCGATCTTACGGACACTCTCATGCGCGAAGGGCGCAATCGTACCACCTTCGGCGAGCTTAGCGCACTTATCAGCGATGGGAGATCAGCAGAAACCGCTCTCTGCTGGATAGTTACGAAATGCGCCTACTTTGCATATCCATGATGACCCGGCAATCCGGCAAATATTTGTTTTCATAAGGGTGAAACTCCAGTTCGGGGGGGCCACTCCATTGCTATCTTATCCGTAGTACTAGAGAGCAGTTCTTTGGGCTATCGAACACTACGGATAAGATAATAAGTGAACGACTCATTTCGAGCGTACTTTTGATAAGGACCGGTGGATGTCCTACATTCCACACTACCTGCCCACATCCCATCCACTTTTCTGCACAGGTGATCCACCCTGGAGCTCCTGCACCCTTAGCCCTTTGCGGAGGTGTCCTTTCTCCTGGTCCAGGACCGTTCCCTTGGGTCATGGCAGGCGGAAATGTGAAAACGTTTCAGGGTTTCTCACCCATTACACCAATATTTATCAGAAGTCTACTTTAAATGAGTCGATTACGTGTCGTGAGCCCTCTAATCCTTATCTTGAGTATTGGAGAAAAAATGGAGTGGCCCCCCCGAACTGGAGTTTCACCAATCACAGTGATACATGTTTCACTCTTTAATATGTATTCGCAGCCTCCGCCGACGGCCGCTCGGAGACGGTTCGGTTCGAATCTTAGGCTGTTTAATACTGCGGCGCTCCGGTGCGGGTCGGTGCGGTCGGTGCAGTCGGATGTGCGACAGTTGCGAAGAGCGTCAATACGCGCTCTGGCGCATGACGCGTACGTTGGGCGCAGATCGCGCGCGCTCCGATCGATAATCCTGGTTTTGGTGTATTTCTTGTCTTTTTCGATGTTTTTTTTTGCGCCGTGTTGCTTTTATTCGTGTGTTATCTGCTCATACTTATTCTTTTATGTCTCGTTTCATACTTTTCAGTTGTTCCGCGGACGAGCGACTTCGTAGAACCCTTCGTAGAACAATTTCAAGAACCCCGTCGTACTACCCGGGTGAAAGTGGCTATATCCCAATGAGTTCATCATGAGCAATTTGTTTATTCGAGTGAACTGTATGTTTCCAGTAGTTGCTTTCTCTTCGATACGATTTCCTGCTGGTGTGCGAATAATTAAATTACCAAGATCCGGCGGCCTTTCGCACACCAGCAGGAAATCGTATCGAAGAAAAAGCAACTTCTAAAATTATAGAGTCCACTCGAATAAACAAAATTGCTTATGATGAACTCACCCGGTATAGCCACTTTCACCCGGGGTAGTACGACGGGGTTCTACGAAGTCGCTCGTCCGCGGAACAACTGAAAAGTATGAAACGAGACATAAAAGAATAAGTATGAGCAGATAACACACGAATAAAAGCAACACGGCGCAAAAAAAACATCGAAAAAGACAAGAAATACACCAAAACCAGGATTATCGATCGGAGCGCGCGATCTGCGCCCAACGTACGCGTCATGCGCCAGAGCGCGTATTGACGCTCTTCGCACTGTCGGTGCGGTCGGCGCCGTCGGCACCGACTGCGCACCGACCGCACCGGCGCGAAGTATGAAAGCAGCCTAAGATTGCACTTGCTCTTGTACTTGCTCAAGCGATACGTCAATACATGGAGCCATCTGGACTAAGCT